TGGTTAAGAGAGCTTGATCCTATATGGCTGACCTCAGTGCAAGTCCTGGCTCCATAGCTGGAAAACACCCTGGGCCCATGTGCCTGTGTGTCCCAAATCCTGACAGGATGGAGACACGGAGGAGGAGGGATTGTGGTGGGACCAAGCCCCAGTGGGAAGTGCTTTCTCTCTCTCTGGTAAGAGCACACGGTCTCTGGCAATTAAAAAGGAGACAGCAAGATAAAAAAGGAGCTAGCAAGGTAAGTAGATGCATGACTTCCAGAGCGACTTGGCCTGCCTTGCCAACAGGATGACCTAGAAGAGGGCTGTGTCCTCAACAGCAGGAACACAGTTAGCGAGGAGATTTCACTTGCCAAACACATCTGGCCCCAATAATTCCTACTTTTATGTTTAATCAGGCCATTCTTTTTCTTTAGGACAATAGTTCTCAGCGTGTGGTCCCTACACTTCTGCGATCTTCAAGTGAAAAAAAAATTCTATAGTAATACTGAGGTATTTTTCTTTTTTTAAAAAAGGATTATTATGGGACCAGCAGGTGGCATGGTGTTTAAGGTGCTAGATACTTCCACATGACCGACCATGGTTCTAGTCCTGGGCCTGGTAGCTTACTTTCCCGCTTTCTCTCTCTCTCCCTCTCTGTGTTTCTATCTGATCAAATTAAAAAAAAAATAAAGGAATGAATAAATAAAATTCAATAAAAATAATTTTTAAAAAGGATGATTGAATTTTATTTATTTTTAAATATTTCATGTAATGTTACTTATTGTTATTATTTTTAGATTTTGACCAGAGAGAGAGAGGGAAAGTGAAAAAGAAAGCCATCGGGTCCAGGACTTAAACTGCCGTCGGTCATGTGAGAATCCAGCATCTTCACCACCATGCTACTTACCAGCCCTGAGATACTTGTCTTTTTTTTTTTTCTTTTAAGAATTATTTTATTTATTTATTTGTTTGTTTGTTTATTTTAATTTGACCAGAGAGGGACAGAGTAAGAGAGAGAGATGGTGAGAGAGGGAAAGTGAGAAAGCAAGCCACCAGGTCCAGGATTTGAACCGTGGTTGGCCACATGGGAGTCCAGTGCCCTTAACCATCACGCCACCTGCTGGTCCATGTACTTGTCTTTTTGATGTGTTGATGTTTGCACTGATGATGCAAAAGCAATGTGGGTCACAGTGCCGGCAGTTCAGCGGTAATGAAGACAGTGGCGCTAAATTGCAGTACAAGCAGTCTTCAAAAAGTTTATGAAAAATGCACATTATGAAGAAATTATTCATAGGCTGGCCCCATGGCCAGGTGGTTAAGAAGCTGGATCTCTGGGGCTGGCAGGTAGCATGGTGGTTAAGGGCACTGGACTCCCACGTGGCCAACCATGGTTCAAGTCTGGGTGGCTTGTTTGGGGGTTGCTTTCTCACTTGTTCTCTCTCTCTCTCTGTCCCTCTCTGGTCAAATTTAAAAGATAAGTAAATAAAGAAAGAAACTTAAATAAAAAAACAATGCTTCCCAAAAAAAAAAAAAAAGAGAGAGAAGAAGCTGGATCCTTGAAACCAGCAGATGGCGTAATGGTTACATCGTTGGACTCCCACATAGTCAACTGCAGTTAGAGTCCCAGAGAGTGTCTTAAAGCTCAAATTGGACGCGTGTCTGTGTGTGCCCAAAATCCAGAGAGGAGAATGGAGGAGGAGGGATGGTGGCATGACCATCCCCTCTGGGGAGTGATTTCTTGTTTCCTGTCTCTCTGTTTCTCCGGCCAGTGCACATGCCCTATAGTAAAATATCTCTCTCTAAAGAAAAAAAAAAAGCTGGATCCCACATAGCCCATCACAATTCAAATCCTGGTCCTGGCAGCTTGAAAAACATGCTAGGTGTAAGTGAGTGCAGGCCCCAAAATCCCAACAGGATGAAGCAGTGGGGGAGAAGAGATTGCGGTGTGACCATGCCCCAGTGAGGAGTGCTTTCTCCCTCTGCATGCCATATGGAAGATTAAAAATAAACAAACAAATAAATATATAAATAAAAATTATGCATGGATTAAGAATTTTTTGCACCGGGACCAGTAGTTGGTATAACAGCTATGTCGCTGGACTCCCATGTAGCCTACCGCGCAGTTTAAGTCCCAAACCCGGTGACTTAAACTCACACTGGGCATGTGTGCGTGCGTGCCCAAGATCCCGAGAGAAGAATGGAGAAGGGATTATGGTGTGGGCATCCCCCCTGGGGGTGATTTCTCGCTTTCTGTCTCTCTGTCTCTCTCTCTGTCTGTCTGGCAAGCGCATGTACCCTATAGCAAAAACCTCTCA